CCGGACCCAGGTGCCAGTCCACCGTGAAGAGCCGGACCGCCGAGGACCGGAGGAGCCCCGCTTGGCGAGCCCGGACGGACGCCACCCAGCCCAGCAGCAGGAGTTGGGTGGGCGGTGACCGATTCCGCTGAGGCGGACAGAACGTTAAGACAGCCTCTACAAAAACGCCGCTACCTCACCGTTAGCTGAAAGTTTAGAGGCCTCTGCTCCCCCTCAGGGACCGAACCTCACCGCCACACTTAAGACGTAGAAGGCCGCGCAGCACCGGCGACCGACTACGCGCTCAGCAAGGCATGTTGAGACACTTGTAACTCCACGCCCTACAACTCCCGGGCTTTCTCCCGCCTGTGGGGGGCGGAGCAAGAGAAAATTTTCACCAATTAGAATGCACACATGGAGGACGTTACCTTCAGGGCCAATAAGAGAGTGGGTGGGCGGGAGCCAAGGGCGCCCGTTAGCTCTTGGGATTTAAACCTCGGAGGACAGACGGTTAACGGCGAGGTGGGCGTGTTGGCAGCCTGTGCGCCTGCGCAAACTGCGGGACCTCAACCGACGCTGCTGGTGCTCTGCTAGCAGCCGGGTGGGACTCGGGGCGGCCAGTGGACCTCGGCTCGGCTGGTGAGCTGGGTGAAGGGTGGGGCGGCGGGGCGGACGCCTGGGGCTGCCCATCCACTACTGCGGGAGCCAGTGCTCCCGTCCCCGCTGGAATAGCGCGGCGCGGGGGCTCTCCTGGGTTTGGGGCGGGCCGTGTGAGCTGCAGGGTGCCGTGCGCGGGCCGCCCGCGGAGGCCGGGCAGGTGCCCAGGGAGGCAGCCGAGGCCCCGCTTGGGCGGTGAGACTGTGCTCTGTTGTTCCCGGGAAAGGAAAGTTACACCTTTTGTGGGTGTAACCATGCAGGGTGTTTGCCTACCCCAAATAAAAATAAGCCTTATTTTTGTTATTAAGATTATACCATCTTATTAATAATGCAAATGAAAACATTAAAATGGCCTTTTAGAATGTTAAGATTTTTCAGTATCCAGTACTGCTGAAAGCGTGAAGAAATAAACACCCTTGCACACTCTTTGTTGGCGGTAATCAGTTTTTCTAGAGGGCAAAAAGACAAATTGGACAAGAATGCAAACGTAATTCTACCCACAGTACTATCAAAAGTACTATCACTCACAGTACTATCAAAACACTGTTCACATTTGGGTTTACTTAAGGTATATTCATCAGGAATATATACATTATTTTTACATGATTATAAAGTATGTTTAATATAGTTGTATATTGGGAATATAATAAAGCATGTTAAATATATCAGTTAAAAAGCAGATTATGCCTTATGCAGTCGGTAATATATTGGGAACACATTTTTATGCCAAATATAGATATGCATTACCATTTTTAATGGATGCATGATTTTTTTTTGCTATGGCTGTATTGTACCACATTATTTAACCATTCCCTACTGATGTATATGTTTGCAATTTAATGGTCAAAATAGTGTGGTAGTGGTCACTTGTACATACACATGCCTGCATTCTTGTCCAACGTTATCTCCTTAGAATAAATTCCTAGGAGTGGATTATGACTTGGAAAGTATGGCACAATTTAAATTTTGATTCATAATGCCAAATTGCCCTCTGGAAAAATTGATTACCGCCAACACAGTGTAAGGATGCTTATCTCTTCCCACCCTCACCACCACTGGCTATTGAAAAATCTTACCAATCTAAAAGGATATCTTAATGTTATTTGCATTATTAATGAGATTAAATGTTTTCTGTTTATTATTATTTCTTTGGTAAATCATCTGTCATTTCACTATTTACTGATGTGTGTATTTTTTAATAGCTTTCTAAGAGGAATTAGAATTAGTCATTTTAAAACTTGTTACAAGTATTTCTCCCAGTTGTCTCTTTAACCTTGGTTTTAGTGTTATTTGCCTTTATGATAGGCTGCTCTGTTTTAACACTGCAATTCTTTAAGAAGCTGCAAGCTTACCTCAAAAGAGGTAGAGAAATTTGTTGTAACTCTGCAATAGCCTCTCTATAATGGTTGGAATCTAACTACTGACCAAGCCCCCTATGCAAATTTAAAATCCACCCCCTTCTACCCTCAATTTTAATCCTTTCAATTTTAACAAGCTAAACCTAGGACACTGAGTCACTTAAGATTTTTGAAGAGAAGATATTGTTGCGTATCTTGTCCAATATTATCTGTATTTATCTACAAAAAGACAAGTTGTTTAGCTGCTATGTGAAAGTTTCCCTCTAAGTAAAGAGAATGGACAGTTCTTTGTATTAGAAAAAGAAGACAGTTGCCTTTTTATTTTACTGTTTGCAAACATCATCTTTACATGTTCAAGGAAAGAAAGAAATGGGAGTGTGACATAATTTAAATGCAAAGGAAATAATATATTAATCACTGTATAGCATAGCACAGATACCATTAAAAAAACTTGTTTGGCTTTAGTGTCAAAAATCTTCCAAGCCCAGATAGAGTTCCACAAAGCAGTATTATTTTTTTATACATATGCATAATCTCATTTAAATTCACAATTGAAATAATTCCATCTTTAAAATGGAAAAAGTAAGATCCAAGCCCTATTTTACTTTCTTCTAACATTTATTTCCTCCCATGGGACTTTTGAATTTGTACAAACACTACCTCAGCAAATAATTTTACAAAGTTACATTTGGGCTTTTTTTGCTCCACCTATGATGACTGTCTTGACTTTTTCTATGGTAACTACCAAAAATGAAGTCACTAAATTCTTACTCTCCTAGATCTGATAGTATAAATCAATCCTGAATGGATTTACTTAAGATCTGAAACCATGATCCTTTAACTTAGGCATCCTCAACTACAGCTCGCGGGCCACATGCAGGTGTTTTTGCCTGTTTGTTTTTTTAATTCAAAATAAGATATGTGCAGTGTGCATAGGAATTTGTTCATAGTTTTTTTTAAACTATAGTCCAGCCCTCCAACTGTCTGAGGGACAGTGAACTGGCCCCGTTTAAAAAGTTTGAGGACCGACCCCTGCTTTAACTCCTTCGCTTCTCCAGAATCTCCTATGCCTTTTAGTTCTTTTTCCACATATTGCTTTAGAGTTGATTTTTTAAAAAAGAAGGAATGATTTCTCAAACTCTGTTCTTATTTTCTAGGTTTTTTTTTAAACTCTTAATGCTAACGCCACTCAAGGCACATTGAAATAAGGTAAGAAATTGAAAAAAAATAACTTTGGTTTGTACTTACATATTTAAGTAGAGGATCGTTACATCACAATTAAAGGACAGAGTAATCACATTTTAAGAAAACTCAGGGCATTATGAAGTGTTTGTTGGATAGATTCCAAAAAGCAGTAACAGTGATTCAAAATCCAGAAGACCCGGATCATAGACAGTTGGCTATTTTGAATAAATTTTAATTTTGTACCACTATTTACCCATATCTAAAATGGGGATATTTTCTGGTTTCCTCTCTTCTGGGATGCAAAAGCTATTATTATTTGCTTCCTTACTCTTCAATATACCACAAGGTCACCACTGTTTTTGAATGCTATTTTACTTTCTAAACCTGGAACTCTCAGCAAAGTCTTGTTTCTGTGGTCTACCGCCTACAGAGCTTCTATAGCACTTTTACAGCATCAGCTTATATTTATATATTAGTAATGTTTCTAATTGTCCTATGTGTTAGTTGTATTTAAACTATGAGCTTGAGGATAGAAACCGTATTTGTGTATCTGGAATCTTGAACATAGGTAGGAACAAACTAATTACTGGTTGGTAGGTAGAACTTTGATCTCTTAAACATGGCAGAATTATAAATGTGGGATAACACTGCAGTAATGAAAATTATTATTGAGGCAGAATGTCTGACTTCATTTGCTTTGGGTTTATTTTTACTGTTACAAAAGATAATGTGTTATTTGCTTTCTTGAATAAATATAAGTAATATTTTAAGGGTTACTTATTAACTTTGCCTGGAGAACAAGCAAAACCCCTCATTTTCCTATCCCAGTGTGTAGTACTACCAGCCACTCATTTGCTCTGATCTGAAATCTAGGAGTTATCCTGAAAGCCTCCCTACTTATGAATGGCACACTTACCCACAGTCCTGTTGTTTGTGCTTCCTTAATTTGAAATTCGTCTACTTCTCTCCATTCCCCTTACTACAAAATCTGTTCTAGGCCATTATCATCAATTGCCTTGATTATTGCTACAGCCTCCTAATTGGTCCCACTGCCTTCATTCTTTCCCTCTTCCAAGCCACAGTATACCCAGAGCAATAATTTTGCTACACAATTGTACCTAGCACTTAAGTTTCTTTCAGTGGCCCCTCAAATTAAAATCTAAGCTTTTAAGGAAGGCCTACAAGGCTCTACAGACATGACCAACCCTTGCTTACCTTTTTAAACTATGCTCTCATCCCTCTGAAACCATACTGAAGTTGCCTGAATGAATGCATATGCTATAATTTCTAACCCTGTACACAAACTGCATCTTCTGTCTTAGACACACAGCTGTAATTCTTAATCCTCACTTTAACTGGCTCCCATTTGTTCTGCAAGATTTAGCTTGAATATCTCCTCTTTATAAGCACTTTCCTTAAACTACTAGACCAGGGGTAGGCAAACACCATGGCCTAACAAGCTAAGAATGTTCTTTTACATTTGTAAAGGGTTTTAAAAACAATATGCAACAGAGACCATTTGTGATTCACAGAGCCTAAAATATTTACTCTTTATTCCTTCACAGAAAACATTTACCAACCTCTGCACTAGGTTTATATGCTTCATAAGGAAAGGTTCTGTGTCTTATTTGGTTAGGTAACTTCAAGCTAGCATCATGCCTGCCACTTAAATCAATTTTTCCAATCCTTAAATGATTGAAATTAATATTTTTAAATCTTTAGAAAATAAGACACTTAGTGTGAAGCTCTTTATGAGAATTCAGATAAGTACTGAATAACTCATTTGCTTTGAAAAAGAACGGCACAATGAATTAGACACTTGCAGTATTAGACTTTGATGAATTTGAACACAAGGCACAGATTTCCAGGTGTACATAAATAAGTACATCTCCATTTTACAATTGCTTTTTGCTTCCTTCATCCCTTAATCCTTTTAGACAAGGATGAGATAACGTTTGAACTCTTTCTTGTTAAAGCAAAATCTTCCTTAATAGGACCTTAAAGTCTTAGCTGATCATCTGAATTTCTAGTACTTCTTACAGTATTTTTTTTTTTCTTTTCTACCTACCTACCACTAGTTGGTTGTTGGTTCTTAGATCCTAGTAAGTTGTTTATGGTTAAGTGATGTTTTTTATTTTTGTATCGACACAGACCCTTTTTGTTGGTGTCTCCAAAATAGTATTCTCTTCCTCCATTGTGTCATTACAGTCCCTTTTGGCTTTTATTTCTTCTTCATGGAATAAAGGTGGGTGCTCGATGCGTCCCCTATGTACAAAATGCTGGATCCGGGATTCCAATCCTTGGCATTTAGGACGATCCATCAGGGGCTTATATGTGCGCATTTTCACTCCTTCTACAAAGGCACTGGTCTGCTTTATGACAGAGGGCTTAACATTTCTCCATTCTATCATTCCATCCATCTTTGGTCCTGTTCCACAAGGTACTGCAACAGAGTCCAGTCCTTGTAGCATACTATACAACATGTGAGTTTTGATAGCATAGTTAGCCCATAGCTGTTGTAGGTGGGTAACATTGAACTCCTGAACCTCCCGGTCATAGATCCACTCGATATTTTCAAACTTACAGTCATACAAGACTAGAGGAAATTCTACAGCCATACTGGAGAAAGAGGGAGAAGAAACAGAGTATAAGAATATATAGCAGCCATCCAACAATTCCTAAACTGAGGGTTAGTTGGGTTAAGGGGAAATGGGCAGGGGGAAGGCCCAATATAGAATATCCTTGACAACAGCTAAGAAAATATACCACCATCCCTAACCTTTAACAACTTTGTCATAATTGCTAAAAATGCAATATAGATTGACTTGATCCATTGACATGAGTGAGTTGACTTGGCTTCATCATACCACTTGAAGCTATTTTCCAAATTTGTTAGTGGCATTTCAATTTTATATACTATGAGGAAAAACTGTATTTCATACGTTAGGAATTAATTACTGGTATCTATCTGACCTGAGCCTGTTCTCAAAAGACAAATCTTGACTATTCTGCCTTTCCTACCATTTCAAAAACTGGAAATTATGAAAGATTCAGAGTGCAACGGTATGACTACTCAGTAATACAAAATAAGCAAGATTTAATAATGAATATGGCCCTTTTTAATTTTACCAGAACCTAACAATAATTTTGCTTAACATGAATTCAGAAACAAACATGTGGAAAATAAATGTCCTTTTACTTAAGAAGCCTGGTCCAAACACCTGTTTCCTTACTAATGGGATAGAACAAAAAATTAAAAGGTATTGCTCACTCCTACATGTACATGTTCTTAACATTCCACATGTTAGATTAAGCTTTATGAAGGCAGAATGAGTGACAGTTATTTATATAATCATGGGAGAGAGGAAGGTTGCTATCTTGTTTCTTAACTTACCTATATTGAGGTTTCTGGGGATTTTTCTGTATGTTCAACAGCTCATCAATAATCTCTGGCTTCTCCATTCTTTGGCCAATCAGAAAGAGGATAGCCATCATACAGCGGACTTGATGATAAAGGAAGGCCTGGCCAGTCACTTCAAATTGACATAACTGAAAAGGTTCTTGCCATCTTTCCTCACCCAGGCTCTGGCCCACTAGCTTTACTTGAGCAGACAGAATAGTCCTCTGAAAGTTAATCACTCCGTTGGCTACATCCATTTTACACAAGTTCCTGAAATCATGGGTGCCAACATACTTTTGAGCTGCATAATTCATGGTTTCAATATCTAAATCAGCAAGAGGGAAAAAATAGCGGTAAGTCCGCTCAAGACAGCTGAACCTAGCACTGAAGCTAGGTTCTACAGGGGCCCAGGCCAGTATACGGATGTCTGTAGGGAGTACCCGATTGAGAATGTGGGTATATCGGATCTCTTTTGCAGCATCACTAGCTTCATCTTTTAAATAAAAATCCTCTGAATCCCTGCCCCTTGGAAACTGAGAACGAAGGTCAAGAGAAATCACCTGTGGAATTAGAGAAAGATATTGTATTTTAGAAATACAAATAATCCTAGTATGCCGTATGTTATACCTAAGATATCCTGGTATTGCTTGCTCTGAGAAACAGTATACTTACTGGGCCTTACCTGTCCAAAGGCACTAACACCTTTGTCTGTTCGCCCACATCGGTGATAGTTGGATGTCTGTCTGCTTTCTACCAGTCGAGTCTTGGTTAGAGCCTCAAACAGTTTCTCTTCAATGGTATTATTTGTGTTTTCCTGACTAGCAAAGCCCTGGTATCCCCAGCCAAGATAGGCTATTTTTAGGGCTATATGTCTTTGGCCATGAGCTCTGAAATCAAATGCACGCTTAGCTTTTCCACCTCCTGATGAATTTTCTCTAACATTTGAGTCCTTGGTGTTGGCCTGTTCCTTTTTAAGTCTCTGTACCTCCTTTTCCAGTTCTTGTACTCTTTTTAGGAGTCTCTTGGTTTGGTTTCCATCTCTGTAATTTTCAGCCATGATATGACAACCCCAGGAATAAAGGAATCATATAGGTCCACCCTAACTGAAAAGAGCAAAAGGATACAACAGTTTTAGTGCAAGATTTAATTTAATTCCCAAAGAATTACTTTTGTTTGTCCCGGAGTACAAGCATTAGCTTAATTATCATGGATTGATCATCCACAGATATTATTCTTTTCCATCCTATGTGGTCAATTCACAGGGGAAAAGAAAAAAAAATTCAGCTATTATACTTAAAGTTTCTTTAAAGTAGTCAAAATTGGGGGAACGTATCTATAGATTTCATTTCTCTACTCTTCATTAACCAAGATGATTAAGGTTTTTCTAATCATAAGATTATGGTCTACTCTGAGTTTTCATTGCTTTCCATTATTTCAGATAAAATAAATAGCTTGTATGTTCTATCATCTATTATTTAGTTCTGTCTTAAAGGTGGTGCAATAGAAGCTAGCCGAATTGAAGAAAGCATTTCACATTGGAAGTAGAACCTGGAGACAATATTTTCTCACTTTAAGCAGTTTTAATGGCAGAAAAAAGGTAATTAAACACCACTGACTTTTTAAAGCCAACTTTAATGCATGGTCTGATAAAAGATTTCTGTACATCTAACAATTACAAGAGTCAGTCTGATGTAATTTAGATATCATTGTTGAAATTCCTAGTGAATTTCAGTAATCTGAAGACAACTATACGACTACATCCTTAAAATCGGGGCAGTCCTAGATAATCTATAGCTGATGGTTACTTTAGTTATAGAAGATCGTCTCCCCATCTATTTTATAACTAAATTCTAAGTCTAGGTAGTCCATTCAGTTTTTGCCCTTTGGGTTTCTGTGTCTATGATATGTAGATTAAAAGTTTAAATGTAAAAAATGAAAGTATAAAAATACTAGAAAAAAACATGGAATAACTTTTAAATCTTGGAGTATGAATGGCATTTCTAATTAAAACACTCTAGAAACTCAGAAACAACAGAAAACCAAAAAAATGTAACTACCTAAAAATCAAAATTTCTACCAGCAAAAAAAAAAAAAAAAGTAAACTGGGAAGAAAAATGAATGATGGTAAAAGGCTAACTTCCTTAACATATAAGTATTTCAAGAATATATATCAGTTTTGTTTTTTTTTTTGAGACACAGTGTCACTTCGTTGCCCAGGCTAGGGTGAGTGCCGTGACATCAGCCTAGCTCACAGCAACCTCAAACTCCTGGGCTCAAGTAATCCTGCTGCCTCAGTCTTCTGAGTAGCTGGGACTACAGGCATGCGCCACCATGCCTGGCTAATTTTTTCTATATATATTAGTTGGCCAATTAATTTCTTTCTATTTATAGTAGAGATGGGGTCTTGCTCTTGCTCAGGCTGGTTTCGAACTCCTGACCTCAAGCAATCCGCCCGCCTCGGCCTCCCAGAGTGCTAGGATTACAGGCATGAGCCACCGTGCCCAGCCTATATATCAGTTTTAACGAAAAGATCAATAAGAAAAAGGCCAATAACTGAGCGGTAAATGGGCAAGGACCAAGCATTTCAAATAAAAAGTAAAAAGCTTATAAATATTTTACTCAATTTAAATAAGTGCAAATATGTATTAGAACTATTTTTCACAGAACTGTCTGCAAAGACTAGGAAGTTTGACAGTACACCACTCTGGAGAAGAAGTAGAGAAACAAGCTCTATTAACACACTATTGGTACAACTGTAGGTAAGCATTTTGCCAGCAGCTGTCAAAATTGAATACACACATACCTTTTGACCCAACCATTCCATGTCTAGAAATTTAACCTAGAAAAATGCTTGCATGGATATTTAAAATTTACATGATATTCATTGCAACATTAATTTTTAACAAATAGTACTAAACCTAAATCACATCAATAAAGGAATAGTTGAATAAATTGTGGTACATTCATACATTGGAATTTTATGCAACTTTAAAGAAAATGAAATAAGTCTACATGTGCTGATATAGCTGGATCAGCAAGGTGTTATCTTTAAGGTTCAGAAGAGTTTGTGTTCTATGCTCCTTTATGCATGTGAATGTGAAAAACTTCTAGAGAAATCATAAGAAACTGCCTTTGAGAATGAAACCTGTGGGGAGGGAAAATCCTTGCTTAAAATTATTAAATGCAAGTATTAGCTTTTTAGTTTAAAAAGAAAAATAGCGACACAAGAAATAGTGGGCAATAGATCCTACCTTAGATCAAGTCAGGAAACTAGCACTGGGTATTGGGCTGGTTGACTTGGGTACTTAGTTATTTCAATGACAAGGGTACTAGAATGAACAGATTTATCTTGTAACAGAAGATGTGTTAAAATTACTTAAGCATAGGGAGTATATATATATATATATGTATACATGTAATGTGTGTGTGTGTGTGTATGGGAGCACAATACCACCTTTGTAGTAGTTTTTTATATTAAATCATTCTTGATTAAAAGCAAGGACTCATTCTGAAGCCAGACTGCCTGAGTTAGAATTCCAGTTCCACCACTTAATAGCTGAGTAACCTTTGGCAAATTATTTAACTTCTCTGTGCCTCATGTTATTCATCTGTGAAAAGGAGGTAATCCCACACCTGTGAGGATTACATGAATAAATGTAAAGTACACAGAACAATGGCACCCTCTATGTACCTGCTACATAATGTACATTAAGCAGTATGCCTCATATAATCCCATATAATGTAGTCTCATATGCCTACCAGAACTTGCCTGTCCTATCCTAGGAGCTACTAAAGGTGGCAAGGCAGTAGAAACTGTAAGAGAGTGGAAATGAAAACAGGTTAAGAATTAAGTTATTGCCCCTCCAAACTGTTCTGATACTGCATTATACTGATCTCTCCTATTATAATTATTGAATTTATGATTGACTTAGCCATTCTTTCTCCATTTGAATGCTATAAAATGGAGACAAGGAAATGAGCAATTCATGACCTGGGAATAAAACTGACCAATGTTATCTCTTGCAGAAGGTCCTATGGGGAAGCAATGGAAGAACTCATGGGACCTGATGGGCAAAAATGGGCCAATATGGATCCAGAAGACCGAATGTTGGCAGCTGCTACAGCCTTTACCCATATCTGTGCAGGGGAAGGTGAGGGAGATGTCAGGAGAGAAGCCCAATCTATCCAGTATGATCCCTACAGTAAAGCTTCGGTAACCCCAGGGAAGCAATCTGCTCTTCCTGTGCAACTGCAATATCCACATGTAAAAAGTAATGTCACTTCAGAAATAGTCTCAGAGGTCTCCCAAAGATTCCAAAAGCCAGTGATGAAGAGAAAGGTGCTGCGTAGAAAGCCAGGCGGGGAAGTATTAGTGACAGATGAGTCCATTGTCAGTGAATCAGAATCTGGTACAGAAAGTGATCCAGATCTCTGGGACCTAAGACAAAGGCTGATGAATATGCAGTTCCAAGAAGACAAGGAATCCCCAGTTGATAGTTCACAAAGTTTTAATCTACCACATGAATACCAAGGAATTTCTCAAGACCAGTTTATTCACTATTTACGAAGAGAAGGAATGGGCCCTCCAGCTTATGAAGAAGACCTGATGGTTGCCAGAAGACCCAAGTCCTTTATTCTCCCAAGGCTGGACCAGTTAAGCTGAAACCGGGGCAAGGTAGACCGGGTAGCCCGATATTTTCAGTATAAACAGGATTGGGACTTAACGCGGTTACCTGGTGAAGATCATAGGAAGGAATTACGCTGGGGTGTCCGAGAGCAGATGCTTTGTCAACCAGAACCCCAATCCAAACCTCAGCATGTGTATGTTCCAAACAATTACCTAGTACCAACTGAAAAGAAAAGATCTGCACTCCGTTGGGATGTTCGTTGTGACCTTGCAAATGGTGTCATGCCCAGCAAACTTCCCTTCCCTCTTTCACCTTCTTAAATCTTTTTCTACCCCTCTTTCCAGGACTGTTTGGGATAACTTCATTCTTTTTATCTCTTCTTCTGAATAGGAAAAACTGACTTGACAAGCCCATGGAACATTATAGAATAAGGACTTCACTCACCTATTATTGGTCTTTGCTAGCTATATATCACATTGGCATCAGATACCACTTTACTCCCAAATTACCACTCAAATCGAGCAATCGTGAGAGAAATCATGGCAGAGAAAAAGAGACCAGACTGGTCTTTCTGTTTTGTCCAATTAGTAAGCTTCATTTTTATTCTATAACCTGTTTATCTTTGACCAAAATATGAGTTGCTGTGTTTTTAAAGTTGCTGGGCATTAAGCTTATCAATTAAAGAATTTTCGGAATTTGTGAGTTTGAATCTTATTTTATTAAATACTACCATCGGTAAGATGAACTCAAACCTGGGCTATGATTCTACTTCCAATCACACTGCCTATTGTACTCTCACTACCTAAATAATGAGCCACAAGGAACAAAAGCCTACCCTTTACACACAGTCCTAAAGAATGGGGGAGAGGTAACAGCATAGTTATCCCTCACTACTAAAAGAATATAGCAAATCCAGTGGTTGCGTAAAATGCTTTTTTAATAGATGCTCCCAAACTACTATGCAACACAGGTTTCTAACCCAAGTTTTGTTTCAAAATTTTAATATTTTGCCTTCCAGTTTTTACTTTGGGAGTATTATGTTTTTTATAATTTGCTACTGAGATTTTCTTAGGAATTACGTCTATCACTTGGCTATTCCTACTCTGCAACAGAATTTCAAACTACTAACATCTGAAATCAGATGGATGCAAACAAATACCAGAATGAATCTGGCCTGTTTGGGTACAGATCTGAATACTAATTCTGCTCACCTTACAGTGGAATGTATCTGTTCTTGATAGTTCTAATCCAATGAGTTACATCTGAAGTCTGGAAGTTGACAGTTTTATCTGCTAAAATATATTTTCTCTATAGTATTTAAAGCTGTGTAATTAATTCACTCAGTTCTGCTAGGCATTTATCAGGAAAAGAAGTAATGACTCAAAGATAAATGTAGGATATATTCACTGCAAATAAGTAGAAACTGCAAACTGTCCACTATTTAAAGAGATATTTGGGAATCTTGAGAAACAAGGAAAAATGCAAATTAAGTGAAATATCTTGTGAACTACACAGCCTGATCTCAGCCATACACTCCTGTACACACAGCACAGGGGAAGATCAAACTCCAACTCTGGGTAGTGGGATTAAAGTTAATTTTTATTTATACCTCAGTTTTTTAAGTTAAAAATTACATTATTTTTACAAGCAAACCACTCCAATAATTTACCTTTATCTGGATCTCAAAGTCCAATATTACCAAAATCAAAGGTTTCCAAGTGATTACCTAACCTTATTAACTAAAGAACTAGGCTGGGGGTGAGTCTGGTCATAAGGCAGATTTATGGCAAAAGGAGTACTTGAGCCCAACATTCAGTACAGTGTTTTCTCCAACACACCATAACCTCAGTGTGAAGTGCAATAGTTCCCAAACAACACCTCAGAGGGGACCGCCAAATGACCACAAAGATGGAATTCGTGTGTGCCTTAAACTTCGACTATAAAGTATAAAACGGCCATCGCCAGTCGTTCAGTATATTTTTGAAGTTAAAAAATAAAGATCAGGAATCAGTGGACTAGCAGAAACAGTATTCGTGGCCTGTAAAGCAATCCCCAAGATGATTTGAAAATCGCCGCCACTGCCTGCCTCCCATCGCACGCACGACTTCCACTACCGTTTAGATTTATGAGCAATAAATTCTAACAGGGTCAGGGCAGATTTTCCCGCCACAGTCCAAGGGCCCTCTAAACTACAGAATCGAACTAAAGAAGCCCCGTACTGCTGGGAGTCTCTGCCAGGAGCTCCAGGAAGTACCGGCATAAAAGAAAAAGACATGGTCTTAAAGCGAGGTCTCACTTCCATACATCAGCGCTTTCCTGGAAAGATTAAAGTAAGGAAAAGAGGGCAAAAAGAAGACAGCCGTTCAGCTCTGTGTCCATTTGTCCGTTCTTCTGCAGAACCCAAAACAACAACCCAAAAGCCCACCCTTACCTTCCGGCGGCCGACCCCGCGCCCTGCGAGACAGGAAGCCGTCGCTCCGCACAGCCTCCACGCGCGCTAGGCCTCACGGGATGAGGCCGTGCTGTGGCAAACGCAGTTCCGGAAACTCAGCGCGCAGGCGCGGCGCGGCGCTCTCCCGGGCGTTTCCTGGTCCCGCCGCCGCGAACTTGGGGCCCGAGGTACGATGAGAATAAAAGGAGAAATTCTGGTGCTGTACTAAAATAATAGAAGCAATTTTTCAAATGTCTGCTATCCTTATCGGAAAACTAACAGATTGACGATCCTGGCCCGATTTTGTACCTAGATTAGAAGTTATCATTGAGAGACAAAAATGGTTCTTGTTAGACTCCAAATGTGAAAGCTAAAAAGGAATATGATAATATTCCTCAAAACAAACGACTGAGGCGCCTTGAGAGTGGCTGAACAATCCTGGGAGTGTTGCTTCAGCACCACGGAGAGATCATAACAGCAGTTTCGTTTGCGGATTTTTGTAATTTTACCCCCAATTCCAGAGATGCTGACCCAAATCTCAAAGTTCCAGTTAGAAAATTGAAAAAAAAAAGTGCGATTCTTTCGTCCAAGTTTAGCAGTCATTGTGCAAATGCAAGTATGAGGTAGAGGTCGTACCGCGAGGAAAACCGTTTTCTCAGGATGGCTTTAACAAGGGGCCACACCTCAGAATAAAAATTAAAATAAGCAGGCATGTGGACACATCACAGGCATCTCGGGCAGGAGCAGAAGTTTGAACTTGAACAACTCTGCTTCCTTGCCACAACCTTTGCGTTTGAGCTCATTCGTCAGATCAAACTCACCCATTTTGTCTCTCCACTTTTCATAAGCGACTCGCTAACCTCGCTTACATCTTATAATGCGGAGGCGGAAATTTCCAGGGTGGGGAGTGCAGCCTCCCCTCCCAGCGGATCGGGGCGGGCCGGGGGCTGGGCTCCGGCCTCAGTACGCAGATCGCTGCTGCTCACAGTCCCCGCTGTGGTGGCCTCGTAGAGCGCGGCGGCAGCAAACGCTGACGGCGAGAGCTCTGCGTCCCCAGTTTCCAACGCCTGGCGCGAAGCCTGCGCTGCCGGACCGAAACCTCGCGGCCCAGTGCGACGCCGCCCCGCCGGCCCGCCCCCGCCTCGCCTTGGTGCCTCTGAGGGCGGAGCCCGCGGCCGCGAGAGCCCTTTGGCCACTGGGCGGGGCCGGACTGCCACGCGCCGGGAGGGAAACACGTGCGGTGTCGGGACCGCGAGCGCAGCTATGGCGTCGTTACTTTGGGGAGGCGACGCCGGGGCGGCGAGGAGCGAGCGGCTGAGCAGCCACGTAACCGCCACCGAGCCGGGGAGGGCGAAGGAGCGGGGCTTGAGCACCGAGTTCCAGAGGGCACTGTGCTGGGGAGGAGAGGGAGGGAGAGCCAAGCTAGCGTTTGGAGGGGGGTGTCAGTGTTGGAGAGGTGGGAAGAGTTCGGAAGAGGGCCACGGAAAAGGAGATCCCCAGAGGGACAAGACCTTTGGTTTAAAAGGGCGAAATGAAGACACCTGGAAATCCAGGGTGGGAAACCAGCTGGTAGTCCCAGCTAGACTCAGTTTTCTGCTCTCCCAGATTGACCCTTAAGCCTTTCCTCGCTTGAATCTTATATCTACTGTCAACACTTTCGTAGCCGCCATCCCCTTGTTGGTGCTGTGACCCCTAAGTACTGCCCACATTTAAACTAGCGGCCTAATAAAGAGGAACTTCATGTACAGGGACTACAGAAAGTCTCCAATTTTAGGGTAATTCCTACAGGAGCCCTATTCCTGAAAGGACTCCATTAATACCTGATACTACAAAGGAAACAGTACTCAGGTGGTCTTCCCTGAATCCCTTCCAGCTTCTGTGGTAGGGGAGCACTGGGCTGCTTGATGGCTTGCTTCCTAATATTGGTTGAAATTTGTGTCTTTCAATAGTTTTCAAACCCCATCCACCCCCGGAAGAACCTTCGGGGTATTAAGAGTACTACAGTCCCAAACGTAGGTGAGTGCTGTTAGGGTAAAGCAGATCGGCCTCAATTAAAAAGCATTGCTTTTATCTTGTCCTTGCGAAGTGAAATACCTTGGACTCCCTTAATTTAACCTTCGAGACCCTCAGCTACCTTGCCAGTCATTTATCCACTCCTCTGCAGATGACTCTTCCTGTCCTTACACAGTGAAGAGTCAGGAAGGAAAAATGGAATAGTATTTTATTTCTGCTCAGCATTTAAATTAATTGTTTCTCTTCCATCCTTTTAGATGGTTCTGTTAACACCGAAGAAGAGGATGAAGAAGATGTAGGTAGGAGATAAATTCATTTGCATGTACCAAACAGGGTACGTTCTGTTTCAGTTTATCATCATTTTTACAGTGTGAGTGAATCATATCTCATTTAGAAAAGGACTGTCTTTGCTTCTGTTTTCTTTATGAATAGCAAATATAAGAATAAATATTAATTATATTTATTCTGAATTTATATTAATATAAATATACCCACTAAGGAGTGGGTATATTTCTTTAGAGGAAGTTGGAATATGCAGGGAGTGGGTTAAGAATTTCCAGCTGTCAGGGAGGAATTATGTCTCAGGGAGATGGGCTTAGGCTGATTGAAGTTAGAGGTTTTTGTAGCAACCCAGCATAAGAAACTAGATCCTCATGATGAAGGAATTCTCAGTGCTATGTTGTTATTTCTAGAACCTTTTAGAAGAAAGATGAGCATAGGTGTAGTTGCTTGATATGCAACCACTGAATGGGTGAGCATCTTATTTGATGTCATACAGGAAGCTTGATGTACCCTTTTTTATTTTTGCTTTCCTAGTGGATTTGGCAGCTAATTCGCTCTTAAACAAGTTAATCCGTCAGTCATTGGTAGAATCCAGTCACCGAGTGGAAGTTTTACAGAAGGATCCCAGCTCCCCACTTTACTCAGTGAAAACGTTTGAAGAACTGCGGCTGTAAGTATTTTCAGTATGTATGGGACATGGCACAGAACACACTCATCTGCTAGTAATGAAAACCATCTCCTTTGTTTTCTAAAATTCAATATTAAAATAAGGTGTGTATGCCAACTGGATAAAAATTTAAAAAAGAAAATGAGGTGTGTACATTTTGCATGCAATCAAAATATAGCTGGAAGAACAGTACCAGAATACCCAACTTGCTCAGAGAACTGAGAACATTTTTGATAGTAAAATATTTAATCTTGCAGTGGTAAGGGGGATACTTAAGCCAGGCACAGCCAGATTGCCACTGTCCATACCAGAACCAGATACAGGGGCACTGATGACCCAAACATCCTCCCCCAACTCCTTTAGATAAGTTACAAGCAGTTACTTTCCTAATTATATTTTGTTTCATATGGTATTAAAGTGAATAACTTTCCCTGAAGGATTTGTATTCCCTATTTATCAATTGCCATTAAGGAAATGTATTATACAGAAAGAAAAGATACTTACACTGACTTATGAAAAGGGTAAAAATCCAAAATACTGGTGCTCAGACATTTTGGGGGGTTTTTGTCATTATTTTAGTCTTTTCTTCCTCTGCCACAGATATTTTCTAAATGGTAGAAGCCTGCCTATGATTAAAAACAGTCTGCCAGTCATCTACCAATTAATCCCAATTAAGCACATCCAAATGTGCATGTCATTAAAGGTGGAAGTGTTCAGCTCACTTGCTTTATCCCTATTCTAACGTTTTTCTTCAGACCTCCCAGGAAAGATGGATTTAAAAATACTGCCCTAGAAGGACAAAGTAATCATGTATCTTCTGCTCCTAGGGAGAACTGATAAAAGAATCACCTAAATAAAATTTTGTTTTCTCTTAAAATTACTGTTAAAAACATCAGTGTCATTCATGAAAAAGAACTAAACAATAAGTATCACTTTGTTTTTTGCTTTTGTGGAAAATATAACTCTCCTGGAAAACTGATATATTCCTTTTTCAAATGAGTTTTCATTTTTTTTTTTTTTTTTTTGCTTTGTTCAACAGAAAGTTCAACTTTAGGCCTTTACCACTGTCTTTAGCCTAGGCTTATAGCATAGCTTATTGTGTATGTTTGAGAGTTAAGGTACAAATGATATGTTTTTCTTTTTTTAATTTTTTTATTAATTATGGGTACATAATAGTTGTATATATTTATAGGGTACGTGTGATGTTTTGATACAGGCATACAATGCGTAATAATCAAATCAGGGTAATTCAGGTATCTATCACCCCAAGCGTTTATCATTTCTTTGTGTTCGGAACATTCCAATTCTACTCTTAGTTATTTTAAAGTATACCATAACTTACTGTTGACTATCGTCACTTTGTTGTGCTATCAAATATTGTTAATTCTATCTATCTATATTTTTGTACCTATTAACTATTCCCACTTTATCCCCCATTCCCATCTACCCTTCCCAGCCTCTGGTAACCATCATTCTACTCTTTGTGTCCATGAAATCAATTGTTTTAGTATTTACCTCCCACATAAGTGAGAACATGTGAAATTTGTCTTTCTGTGCTTGGCCTATTTCATTTAAAAAAATGTTCTCCAGTTCCATCCATGTTGTTGTAAATGGAAGAATTTCATTCTTTCTATGGCTATATACTATTCCATTGTGTATGTGCACCACAATTTCTTTATCCATTCATCCGTTGATGGACACTTAGATCTATTCCAAATCTTGACTATTGTGAATAGTGCTACAATAAACATGGGAGTGCAGATATCTTTCCAATATACTGATTTCCTTTCTTTTGGATATATACCCAGCAGTGGGATTGCTGGGTTATATGGTAGTTCTATTTTTAGTTTTTTGAGGAACCTACATACAGTTCTCCATAATGGTTACACTAATTTACATTCTCACCAACAATGTACGAGGGTCCCCCTTCTCCACATTCTCACCAGCATTCGTTGTTGCCTGTCTTTTTGATAAAAGCCCTTTTAACTGGGGTGAGATGGTATCTCCTTGTAGTTTTGATTTGCATTTCTCTGATGACTAATGATGTTGAGCATTTGTATGTTGACAATTTGTACGTCTTCTTTTGAGAAATGTCTATTCAGATCTTTTGCTCATTTTTTAATCAGATTATTGGATTTTTTTCCTATTGAGTTGTTGGAACTCCTTATATATTCTAATTATTAATCCCTTGTCAGATAGGTAGTTTGCAAATATTTTCTCCCATTCTATGTGTTGTCTCTTCACTTTGTTGATTGTTTCCTTTGGCATGCAGAAGCTTTTTACCTTGATGTGATCCATTTGTCCAACTTTACTTTGGTTGATTGTGCTTTGGGGGTATTACCCAAGAACCCTTGCCCCAACCAATGTCCTGAAGCATTTCTGCAATGTTTTCTTCTAGTAGTTTCATAGTTTCAGGTCTTAGTTTTAAATCTTTAATCATTTTGATTTGATTTTTGTATATGGCAAGAGATAAGGGCCTAGTTTCATTCTTTGCATATACATATCCAGTTTTCCCAGTAACATTTATTGAATAGACTGTCTTTTCCCCAATGTATGTTCTTGGTGACTGTTGAAGATAAGCTCACTATGTATGTGTGAACTTATTTCTGGGTTCCTATTCTGTTTTATTGGTCTATGTGTCTGTTTTTATATCAGTACCATGCTGTTTTGGTTACTACAGCTCTGTAGTATAATTTGAAGTCAGGTAATGTAATTCCTTCAGTTTTGTTCTTTTTGATCAGGATGGCTTTGCTATTTTGGGTCTTTTGTAGTTCCATATAAATTTTAGGATTATTTTTTCTGTTTCTATGAAGAAGTCATTGGTATTTTGATGAGTATTGCATTGAATCTGTACATTGCTTTGGGTAGTATGGACATTTTAACAATATTGATTCTTCCAATCGATGAACATGGAATATCTTTCCTTTATTGGTGTTCCCTTTAATTTCTTTCATCAATGTTTTATAATTTTCATTGTAGAAATCTTTGACTTCCTTGGTTAAGTTTATTCTTAGGCATTTTATTTTGTAGCTATTATAAGTGGGATAACTTTCTTAGTTTCTTCTTCAGATTGTTTGCTGTTGACATATAGAAATGCTACTGATTTTTGTATATTTATTTTGTATCCTGCAATTTTGCTGAATTTGTTTATCAGTTCTAGGTTTTTTTGTGGTGTCTTTAGGTTTCTCTGGATAAAAAATCGTATCACCTGCAAACAAGGATAATTTGACTTCTTCCTTTCCAGTTTGGCTTCCCTTTATTTTTCTCTTGTCTGATTGCTCTTGCTAAAACTTCTAGTACTACGTTGTGTAACAGTGGTGAAATTAGACATTCTTGTATTATTCCAGATCTTAGAGGAAAGGCTTTCAGTTTGTCCCCATTCAGGATGATAGTAGCTATGGGTTGGTCATATATGGCTTTTATCATGTTGAAGTATGTTCCTTCTATATCCTATCTTTTAAGAGTTTTTGTCCTGAAGAAATGTTAAATTTTATCAAATGCTTTTTCAGCACCAATTGAAATGATCATATGGTTTTTGTCCCTTTGTTCTGTTGATATCACATTGATGGATTTATGTGTGTTGAACCATCCTTGATTCCCTGGGATGAATCCCACTTGATCATGATAAATAATCTTTTTAATGTGTTGTTGAATTTGATTTGCTAGTATTTTGTTGAGGATTTTTGCATCTATATTCATCAAATATATTGGCCTATAGTTTTTTGTTGTTGTGTCTGATATAATTTTCAATATTACTTTTAAAGCTCAGTTGCAAAATGGCTTAATTTAGAAATGCAGCTCTTAAGTATGTATTTCCAAGGCTACTGACCAACCATAGGCTTTGTTTGGTTTGTTTTCTTTTATTGACAGAAAGGAAGAGTTACTAAAAGGAATCTATGCAATGGGATTTAATAGGCCATCCAAAATCCAAGAGATGGCTCTCCCTATGATGCTGGCACATCCGTGAGTTTCCAGGGTAGTGGTATTCTAACTTGGTTATTTTTAGTCTCTCATTTTCAATTTATGTCCAGGTTCTTGTATTCATTTTATGCCCAGTGGTCTCCTCTTTTCTGCAGACCCCAGAACCTCATAGCACAGAGCCAGTCTGGAACAGGAAAAACAGCTGCCTTTGTCTTGGCAATGTTAAGCAGAGTTAATGTCTTGGAATTGTTCCCACAGGTAAGGAAAGCTGTAAGGAAAAGTGGGAATGCTTGCAATGCCAATGTTGTTATAGTAATAGGTGATATTGCTGCATTGATGTGATTGCTACAGTGATACAACAATATTTAGAATAGACATTCTTTCATGAAATCATAGAGCATTGAGCAGTATAGGACAGTTATAGCCCAGGCTTTTAGCCTGACTGGTTTTAATGCCAACCTCTCTGCTTACTAACTGAATGTCCTAGGCAAGTTAATAAATCTCTCTCTGAGTCTGTTAATTTTTTGTCTGTAAAGTAAAGAACATCTGTAAAGGCGTGGGTCATAGTCGATCTGTTCAACTTCGAATCCTAACAGCACAGTGCCTGGCTTGTAGAAACCACTCATTAAACACTGAACAAACACAATGAATGAATGAATGCCTCATAGGGTCATCATGTGGATTTAATGAAACAATGTACATTTTTAGCACTATGCTTGGCATAAAATAAGCATGTAATAATGAGAGCCATATAACTGTAGGACCAGAATATCATCCAATCTTCCTCACTGATTTAGCAGAAGAAGGAAGCTAACTCTTGGAGGGGGAAGTATCTTTCCTGAAGTCGCACACTCAGAGAAGGGCTGAACAAGGAATGGCCCTGGCACCCATCTCACCATTCTCCTACTGTAGTTTTTACTCATGAAAAGTATGGTCATCTCTCCCGACTCACTGGAAAGGCTGAGGATCCATCTGCACTAAATGATGTGGGGAGCACAAGGGCCCCTCAGCAAGGTTATACTCTGACCAGCCAGATAAGCCACAGATGTGGGTGACTAAAGCCAGGCATAGGAAATCCTGTGCATTTTAGACACGTTCAGTACAATTTGTATTTGGGGTTTGGCATTTTCAATAACAATTCTTCAGGATAAGCTGTGCTTGACCATATGTTGAGAAATGTATGTGGAAACTATTTTTAGCACATTGGCTATGTTTCCTTCTCTATCACAGACCCCTAATTGAAATATATAAATGTATTAGATCTCACCAGTTTCTTCCATCAACATTTTTATTCATCAGCAACCACCATTTGTAGGGAGTGTGGATCTAACAAATGAGAGAGTTTGGGGGGACTATTACCCTGGCAGGATCTATATATCTATAAAATATAGGTAGTATAGATGGATTGGATCAAGCAGGGAATGTTCTAGAAATAAGCAGACTTTTAATGGCAAACAGGAGGTGACAGGGATCATGCTAGAGCTGTAATTTGTCTTGCATTCCCTCTATCACTGTTAATAATCCTCAGCCCCCTACATCCTACCACCAAAAAAGAGGATGACCAGTAAGTTGTGTTTCTAAATAACCCTTGAGAGAGGAATATATAAAAGAGAGCTATTTCTGCATCCCTCAAACCCTCCCCCTAATACTCAGCATTCACCTCAAATCTATCAACTGTTAAATCGTGTTCAGTTTAAAATATTTTATTCAACCAAAACCTCCAATTTCACTTATGTGCCTCTCCCTGTACAAATTTTTATTGTAGTTAAAATTGAAAGATGGCTCGTCTGAACCTTTCTTCTCCCCTCTAATTCTCTATCTGTGGCAGTGCCTCTGCCTGGCTCCTACTTATGAATTGGCTCTGCAAACTGGCCGTGTGGTTGAGCAGATGGGAAAATTCTGTGTGGACGTTCAAGTTATGTATGCCATTCGAGGGAATCGAAGTATGTACCAGTAAGCCAGTCCTCATTGATTTTTTAAATCCTGGTTTCACCACTAACAGGCATGTTATATAACTTCTCTGCTTTCTCTTCTCTAGAATGGGGGAAATAATAGCACCTGTATCATAGGGTTTTTATGAGGATTAAATGAGATGATATAGATAAAACATTGTGCACACCTGGCACATAATGAGGGCCCAGTAAACATTAGCTACATCATTTCCACATCTTGCAAGATGATGCCTTTGTATATCATTTACCTTAAGATTTAGTGGTTTTTTGCAGAACAGCTTTTATTTTTGTTATTTTTTTCATTAAAGTATTACATGCTCATAGTGAAAAGAAAGTTTAAAAGACAGATGATTAGAAGGTAAAAGTGAAAGTTATTCTTCCTTGCCTTCCAAAAACCTATTCCCAAAGATCATTACAGTATTGTTACATGCAAGCCTTTGTTTTTTGCTTCCCTTTTTTTTGTTAGCTTATGCAAGCACAACTAATGTACATACATGTATTTGTTTTAATTGAGCGTTCACAAAAATGGGACTACTTTTTTCATATTGTTCATTCTTTTGACTAGCTGCACAACATTCTGTAATTTGCTTAATGTAGCCTATTGATAGATATTTTGGTGGTTTTCTATTTGGGGAAGGTTTGTAGTTTGTTGTGGTAATGCCAGTATTTGCATAGGATAGTTGGAATTGCTGCAGTATGACTTTTTAAATGACTGTGAGGTAGAATCAAATATGTGGGACTATTATTAGCATAAACCTAGAAACTCGAAAATTTATCCTAAAAATCTTGCAAAATCAAAAACCACAATGACCCTCCGGGTGTGCAGTTGGAAAATCACTACAATTATACTTTTGCTTACAAGTTTTATAAGTTGTAAGTTTTATAGTTGCTTTGCCCTGAATTGTGGCCTGTTGGAGGCTTTTGCATCTGAAGGAGCACTTAAAACCCTTTTCTCCCTAGTTCCTAGAGGCACTGACATCACCAAACAGATTATAATTGGCACTCCTGGAACTGTCCTAGATTGGTGTTTCAAACGAAAATTGATTGATCTGACTAAGATTCATGTGTTTGTCCTGGATGAAGCAGATGTGATGATTGACACCCAAGGATTCTCAGATCAGAGCATTCGCATTCAAAGGTAATCCTCAGATTCATCCTTTCTTCCTCAGTCTTCTGTACAGATGAGGAATTCCATTTGTCTGCTGCTCTAAATTATCTTTATTGCTTAATTCCTCACCACCTTCACCTCTAAAACAAATCTGGGTTTTCATTATTTTCACCAGCTCAAGGGGCCTTCAGACTGTTAACAGTTTTCCAATTTGAATCTTCAGCTTGTAACCTTGCCCAACTGCTTTACTTTTGCAACATACGCTTACAGATAGAATCTATATAGTGGATCTGCGTCAAGTTTGCCAATAATGTTTTATATTTTGAGCAAAATTCTAAAGAGGAACTACCGTGTTTCCCTGAAAATAAGATAGTGTCTTATATTTAGTTTTCCTCAAGGAGACACCTTAGGGCTTATTTTCAGAGGATGTGTTATTTTTTTTTAAGTACGGTACAACAATCTACATTTATTCAAATATAGTTAAGTCATCTTCTTCTGGAACATCATCATAGTAAAATGGCAGCCACAGCTTTCCTTCTTCCTCCTGGGGACACAAAATACCTAAAGCAGAGTGTCCAGCTCCTCACTTCACTGAGGAGACTTTCCCCTCAAAGCCTCAGCTTGCAGCACGCACAGGATGGCCGGGACCTGACAGGGGGAACTGACCTTGTTGGTGGAGCTGCCCGCACCTTTCCGGTCACCTCTGGCATAGTAGCTCTCACGATGGGGCAGATGAGAAGGGCTGTTCTTCTTCTTTACCACTCCTGGACGAAATGCATGGGTTGTGCAGATACACTGTGTATCCACGCCCATCACTAGGTCTTATTTTCGGGGTAGGGCTTATATTGCACAATTGCAATATAGACATCCTGCTAGGGCTTATTTTATGGGTAGGTCTTATTTTCGGGGAAACACGGTATTAAAACCTGACAAGTTTATTGTTAAAAAATATGATGGATAATTGGAATAGAGTATCGAACACAGAACCCTGGGATCAGGAGACTGGTAACCTCATCCTGACTAAATCATATAGTTTTCCTAGGCCTCTCTACCAGGATCACTGCAGGGGCTTCAAACAGATTACCAGGCCCAGTCTCAGACTTACTGAATCAGAATTTCTGGGAATAGGGTTTAGGAATCTGTATCACTTATTTTTAAATAAAGTATTATACACTCAGTGGTAAATTCAAATAGTGTTGAAAGACTTGTAGTGAAAACCAGTCACCCCTATTCTAACCCCAAGAGGATACCTCTCTTTTCTGATACTAACCTTTAAACTTTTAAATAAAAACATTCTCATACTGCTATTTCATTGTCTACTGACTTCCCATCATAGGATGTGTGAATTGAGTTCTTTTGAACCACTACCATGCTCTTATCACCACTCTAATTATGAGTTTGGTTACATTAACAGTCAGCATTGATATCACAGGACAGCATAAGTATAGTTCACTGCTGAGCCATGCAGTGTATTATTGTAATTACAGTCATCCCTAAGTATCTATGGAGATTCAAGGACCTCTGTGGGTATCAAAATTAATATATGCACAAGTCTCTTATATAACATGGTGCAGTATTTTTGCATATATCCTATGCACATCCTCCTATATACTTTAAATCATCTCTAGATTACTTGTAATACCTAATACAATATAAATGATATGTAGATGATACTTACTGTATTGTTTAGGCAATAATGACAAGAAAACTGTACATGTTCAGTACAGATGCAATTTTTTCCCAAATATTTTCAATCTGCAATTGGTTTAATCCACAGATACGGAATCCACAGAAACAGAAACCACAGATATGAGGGGCAGCCTGTGTGTTTTCATTGTACAACTTTTTCCCCTGGAATTAACAATTGCCTTTTTTTTTTCATTTAGTTACTATCAATGTTCAGGAGTCTTTAATTTTTTCCTAGCTATTCCATCAAATGTGTAATATGTCACTGATACCTCTAAATAGTTAAATAAATTTTTAAAAATCCATTTATTTTTTCCTGGCAATATCCCAGGCTCCCTCTTTCCAACTTCAGTCTGGACTGATTGCCATCTAGACCTGTGTGCAGCTGTCATGATAGGCCTTCCCTTTGGTCGTACACAGTTTTGCTTTTTTTTTTTATTTATAATTTCAGGATATTATGGGGGTGTAGACATTTTGATTATATGTTAGGACTTTGCCACACCCAAGCCATGATTTGAGGTGCACCCTCTCCCACCTACAGTGCTCACCACATCCATTAGTTGTGAGTTTACCCACTCCTAACCCCTAACCCCGAAGGAATATTACTACCGTGTGAGCACCTTAGTGTCGATCAGTTAGTGCCAATTTGATGGTGAGTACATGTGGTGCTTATTCTAGCACCTCTTATATTTTCCTGGATAGAGCTTGAGCCCATCCTCCGAAGTGAGGTATCACAAGAATGGAAGCATATACAGTTTTAAATCTTTTATTTCCTGGGTCCTTTTCCTTGGGTGGCTTCCTCAATATGCTGGAGCATATTTTCTAATATCATTTTAAAAAATAATATATAGAAAATTATTTTCTCAGCCTCTACATGTTGGAAATGTTTTTTATTCTACCTGTAAATTTGATCTTTTGATTTATAGTTTGCCTTAGTAGGGATCCTATGTTGAAAATCATTCTCCATCTAAATTTAGAGAAATGTTGAAAACAGAAAAGTTTTTAAAAATAACTTTAATAAATGCAAGAAATTAAAGATAGGAGGAACTGGAGGAGGCATTAAGAGGTACATGAGAGCTGTCTGTACTTTCTGTGCAATTTTTCTATACTAAAAGTGCTCAAAAATAAAATATATTTTAAAAAATAATTTTAATATTTAATCAATATCCTCAACTTCCAGTGTTGTTGCTGAAAAGCTTAATGTCATCTGATCTCCAAGTTTTTGTATGTGACCCTTTTTTTTTTTCTCTAGAAGCTTTTACAGAGTCTTCTTTCTTTATAGTATTCTAAAACTTTTTAGTGACATGCTTTGGTTCAGGTCTTTTTTTCATTCATTGTACTGAATACATATTATGCCCTTTTATTCACAAAACCTGTGCCTACCAGGAGTTCTGGGAAAATTTCTTAAGTTTCTCTTTTCCTAGAGTGACCTACTTTTTAGAGAGCCAATCTGGGATGCAGTCATAGCAGGCAAAAAAAAAAAATAATGATATAAAATAGAAATAATCATACATGTGTGTTATTACTTTAAGATAAAAATATGAAAACATGTTGCTTTGAATTATATATTCTGTACTTTTCTGTGACATAAATGTTACTATTTAAACAAAAAAACATTGGAACTGGTTAACAGTGGCAATTATTAGTAATAATAGTAGAACTAATTAAAAATACATGAGAATCTATAACAATATTTTATAATGTTCAGTCTCTGATATAGCAGCTTATTTTAACTCTTTTTTAACTCATCGTTGGATGTTTATATTTTGTAGGTAATACTATTGCATTGTCTTAAGATACATAAATGTAAGTCTTTTTACAAGGAGAACATAAATACAATAGTACTAATTAAATGGATATTACCTATATTTAATGGAAAAAAAGACATGTTTCTTTCTGTCTCGTGGTACAGTAGGATGTTTTTACTTGTTCTCTGTCTTTTCCAATAATACTTCTCTGAACCAACTGTAGCCTTCTTTTATCTGGTGGCAAAGCTGCATATAGTCAAATGTAAAGTTCATTTTGACTTACAGCTCTGCTCTTATCAAGCCCACACTGATTGGTATCAGTTCATGGTGATGAGGTCAAGCTAAATATCCTCTTCACAAAAGTATTTAAGTGTTTAATACTTAGGATTTGACTTTCTAGCAACAGTAGGTTTTAATTTATTTTCTATTTGTTTCTTTTTTGCAATTTAAACCTATGGTTATTTTTCAGTTTTATTGAGGTATAATTGACAAAATTCATGTATATTCAAGGTATATAATATGATGTTTTGATATTTGTATACATTGTGAAATAATTATCATAATCAAGCTAATTAACATTTATTACATCACATAGGTACCTTTTTTGTGTGTGTGGTAAGAATATTTAAGATCTTTTAGGCTTGTAAGAATTAGTTTCTATCTCCCTAGAAATATACATCCACTGTATCTACAGGCTTGTTTTGGTAGACCAGCTGTCTGTCATTCACATCTCTTGCAAATTCTTCATATAGGCTATGTCTAAAATATCTAGCATTTTTAAACTCTCGAAAGTACATTAGACGTCATAAGTCAAACCCCTCTCTTGCAAGGAAAATGGTTATAAAGCACAGAGGTGAATTAAACTTGTGAAATTAAAGATGAATTCCAAGTAAGTTATAGATTCAGCAAACAAATGAGAAAGTCCTGTTCAACTTGGCTTCCCTTTTTTGGTGACGGTTTTTGAGTTCTGCAGCAATCTTCTTTCTTTTTTTTTTTATTATTTATTTTATTTATTGATTTATTTATTTTTGAAACAGAGTCTCGCTCTGTTGCCCAAGCTAGAGTGCCATGGTGTCAGCCTAGCTCACAGCAACCTCAAACTCCTGGGCTCAAGCAATCCTTCTGCCTCAGCCTCGCAAGTAGCTGGGACTACAGATGTGCAGCACCATGCCTGGCTAATTTTTTCTCTGTCTTTTTAGTTGTCCAGCTAATTTCTTTCTATTTTTGGTCTCGAACTCCTGAACTCAAAGGATCTGCCCGCCTCAGCCTCGCAGAGTGCTAGGATTACAGGTGTGAGCCTCCGGGCCCAGCCTTTATTATTTATTTGTTTATTATTTATTTTTACACCTGTAGCTAAGGCCAAGATAATAAATCTTTAGACATTATTTTCATAGAGACAAAAACCCTCCTGCATTTTAACAAAAGCATAATCCAGGTCATCTGGATGACTCTTTATAAACTGAGCTCTGCTGTCTAACTTCCAGGGCTGCTTTTTCTATGATGTTTATTTTTTATTTAAGCATATTATGGGGGTATAGATTTTAAGGTTTCAATTAATGCCCTTTCCCCCCTCCCCCCACAAGTCTGAGTTTCCAG